TTCTCCCCCTTTTTATAAATTATCACATATCCTCTGTTCTCCACTGCATAGAGATTCTTTATAAATAATGCAGGTTTGATGAACCAGCATAAATTGCACTCCTTAACCTCCCTAGTGGTATGATTATGTCCATATTTCTGTGCTCAAAGCGGTACATTTTTTTGCATGGAACTATGTATTTTTTTCATTGTAGGCCTGTAATTTTAAGGAATAACTCACTGAAATCTGTCTGAACAAGAGTCTAGTAAACATCCCGGGTATGTTAAAATTTGAAACACGAAATCATAAATTATAGTTTAATAAACAATCATAAAAAATAATAATACATTTAATTCAATAATATAATCAAACCAAAAACACTGAAATTTGAAATATAGCACCAAGTTCGCACATCACTGAGCAAAGTCGCAGAATCGTTTTCAGTGTCTGATGATGAATTTCCCCACAAATCATTATCACTCAATTCTGCAAGTGGTTCTAATTTACTATCACTGTTCTCTAGCTGGTCTAAAACTGATTTTGACCTAAAGGGACGCTTTTTGGACGCCATGGACGTTTCTCAGTTTCCAGGCAGAAAGAACAGTAAAAATGTAGGCAGGGCACAGGACAAAGCACTAGGGACAAAATGTATGTGAAATGGTTTGATACAGTAATGTTTTACTATGTGATTTTAGTGAATTTAGTGAATGTCACTTTTTGTCATTTTCAAATTTCCCGCCATTCCATCCCCATACGTCCCAACGTTGCAGGGAACGGAACCCAGAAGACAGATGCTGGCATCTGCCGGAGGACATTGCCGAGTGTAGCTCGGGGGATACCGCTTGTGGTACTGAAACTTTACCCCGATCTACACTTGGGAATACCGCCAGGGAGGTTAAGTATATGGTCCACAATTCAGACAATATTACTTGCTCTTCTCTTTTGCCTCTAGTCATATTTTAAACAAATTGGTCTTTTTTTGTATAGTTTTTCAGAAATACCATTTCCATTTACAAAAGCTAAAAAAACCCCCACCTTATTATAATATTCAATATTTGTCTAACAATATATCAAATCGTTGACAATGCTCCTAGTATCTTTTTTCCCCCTTTCCCTTCCCCTCCTTCCTCTTCCATATCCCATGCCTCCCCATCCCTTAAGCCCTCCCCGGCAGCCCTAATTAATTTCTTTCTACTTGTTCTAAAAGAATATTACTTTAGTATTATTTTTATCCTCAATGACTTTTTCTCTTTTTTTCTTATTTTTTTTTTTCCTTTCTCTTTCCCTAGTACATGTATTCTAGGTATGAACTTGACCTTTTAAATCCTTCCCACTTTTCCCATCTTCTATGGAAAATCTCCATCCTATCTTCCTCCATGTGGTATAGTTCTTCCAATTTATAAATCCTCTCCACCCTTTCTATCCAATCTTTAACACTCGGTGCTTGTTGTTTTTTTCCAAAACTTAGGTATTAAACCCTTCGCGGCATTCAGATAGTACACTAATCCGATTTTTTTATATTTTTTTACTGAAAGCTCAGAACTATAAAGGAGACAAATGTCTGGTTCCTTTTAAATATTGACCTCCGTTATTTCCTGTATTACGTTTATTATGCTTCCCCAGTACTTTTGTATTTCATGACACTCCCACCACAAGTGAAACATTGTGCCTCTATTTCCACATCCCCGCCAACATAAAGGTGAATTATTTTCACTTATCCTATGTGCAACACTCGGTGTGATGTACCATCTTGTCAAAAATGTATAGTTAATTTCTACCTCCTTCATATTTACATTTCCATGAATTAAACTATAAATTTTCTCCTGTTTTTTTTCGTCAATTATTACTCCTAAATCCCTCTCCCATTTTTCTATATATTGTGGCCTTATATCCCTACTTTAATCAGTGAGTATCTTATATATTTTTGAAGTCCCATGCTTCCCATCTCCTCGGATTTCTAATAGGTGCTCAAAAGGATTCCAGTCCTCTTTTTTTCTTATTGGTTTTGGGAGATTTCCTATAAAGTGTTTCAACTGAAAATAACGCCATATATCCATTTTCGTGAAAATTTCCCTCTTTCTTTCCAACTCCCCAAGTGAGCATATTTCCCCTCCCTTCATTATATATTTTAATTGTGCTTCTTTCTTCTTTATCCACTACCCTGTGATAGTTTCTTTGCCTGGAGGGAAAAACTCTGTGTTTGCTAGGGGCATTAACAGTGAATTAAATTCCCATCCCATCTGTTTGTGTAAAGCATCCCAAACTCTAAAAACATTATGTGTAAATAAACTTGTGTTATCTACTAATCCACGGTACTGAGGAGGCAACCAAATATTTCTACATAAATCTGTACAGCTTAATGTGTTTTCTATTTTTACCCAGCTTTCTCCCTGAGTGTTATGTGTCCAGTCAAAAATTCTTGCCAATATTACTGAATTATAGTATCTTTTTATATCTGGAACACCCAACCCACCTTTGTCTTTGTCTCTACTTAGAATATCATAGCTAATTCTAGGCTTCTTATTCCTCCAAATAAATCTAGTCAGGATTTTTTTAATCGTACCAAAATATGCCTCGGGTAGTTTAATTGGTATCATTTGAAATTTATATAAAAGTTTTGGAACAATCACCATTTTTATCAAATTTATCCATCCAATCCATGACTGAGATCCCCATCCTAGTTTCTTTAGTTCATCCCTAATCTCATTTAATAGTTTGATATAATTTGATCTATATAGGTTTTTTATACTGTAGATACCATCAATTTTATACCAAGATATTTTAATTCTCTTTCTCTCCAAACAAAGGGGAATTTCTCCTGTAGCATTTTTTTTTATCTCTAGTTAGAAGGTTTATATTTAATATCTCTGTTTTAGTTGGATTAATATTTAGATTTGACATTTCACCATATTCTTTTAAAGATTTTATTAAGTTTGGCAGTGTTATCCTTGGGTTTCCTACATAGAACAGCATATCATCTGCATAAGCTGCCACCTTATGCTCCATCTCTCCTACCCATATTCCTTTTATGTCTATATTATTCCTTATGGTGGCCAGGAAGGACTCCAAAGACAACACATATAACAATGGAGACAGAGGACATCCCTGTCTTGTTCCATTCTGCATCTCCATATATTCTGACAGATTCCCATTTACCATAATTGCGGCCGAGGGTTTACTATATAATTTCCTTATCCATTCTCTCATTCTAGGGCCCACTCCCAAAACTCCCAAGGTGTCTAACATATATCCCCAACTGACTCTATCAAATGCTTTCTCAGCATCTATTGAGAGTATCAACGCAGGAGTTTTCTCCTTCCTACTTTTTTGTATGAGAAACTGAGATCTTAATCCGTTATCTCTACCTTTCCTCCCTGGGACAAACCCAGCTTGGTCCATATGTATCCACTTCAGCATTAAATCTCTCGACCTGTTTGCTAGTACTTTTGCGTATAATTTAGTGTCTGTATTTAATAGAGATATCGGTCTATAACTTGCAAAATGGTTATCATCTTTACCTTCTTTACATATAAGGACAACATGAGCTTGCAGGGATTCCTTCCTCATTTCCATCTCTCCTCCCAGGGCATTCATATATATCCTCAATTTTGGTATTAATATTTCTTCGTATTTCTTATAATATCTTACTGTATACCCATCAGGGCCTGGGCTCTTCCCAGCTACCATACTTTTTAATGCTATTTGTATTTCTTCTTGTGTGATTACTATTTCCAGAGATTTTAATTGTTCTTCACTTAGTTTCGGTAATCCCGCCTTTTTTATATATGCCTGTCTTCTTTCTATTTTTCTTATCTCATCTTTTCCTTTAGTACCATGGGGCATTATATTATATAACTTATTATAATATTCTTTAAACACTTTTGACTATATTTTTAGTTGAGTATACTAGTTCTCCTTTGTCATCTCTTATTTTCTCTATAAAGTGCCTAGATTTTTTTTTCCTTTGGGCCCTCATTAAGTATTTTCCTGGATGATCTCCCCATCTATATCTTTAACTTATAATTTTATTAAAGGCTCTCCTCTTATCCTCTTCCAATAAATTTTTTAATTCTTCTCTTTTAAATATTATCTTTTGCATCCCCTCTTTTGTTATTTTATTTTTATGCATCTGCTCTAGATTGCCGAGTTCTCTAAGGAGTGTATTCATTTTTTCCCTTCTTTCCCTCTTCTTCTTAACTCCTATCGCTATTAGGATTCCTCTAATATAGGCCTTATGAGTTTCCCACATAGTAGTATCCGACACTTCCACAGGATCATTTTCTTTAAAAAATTGCCCTATTTCCTTCTCAATTTTCAAATCCGTCTCTTTATCCTGAAGAAGTGTCTCATTTAGCCTCCATAGTCTTCCTCCACTCTGCTCATTTCCCCATAGTAATTTCATTGTAACAGGAGCATGATCAGAAATCGACATGGTTTCAATATTTACTTTAACTATAGACTCAATAAATCGATTAAACAAATTGGTCTAAAACTACCTACAGCAAGATTTTGGCAATTGGATGTGAAAACAGGATATGACTACTGAAGATCTCTTAAAGGAAATATCTTTCCACAGGCATGCTGCTTCACATTGCCACATTTTCTTGCTTCTGCCTATGGAGGAAGGAGGCTAAGCTCTCATTGCCAGCTCGTCCTGTGTAAATATTACAGTGATCGTATAAAACACAAACATATAATCCTTTCTTGATACCACTGTCAAGACCAGGAAAATCGATTCTGTATTTGTGGCACTTTCATTTCTTCCTTGACATCTTACCTAGAGACGATCAGTTATTTTTGTCAGATAGGTGTGATAGGTACTCTCTTATACTCCTTAGGGGATGGAATTATGACAGCTCAGGGAATGTGCAAAAATTAAGTTTATTCTTCTGTAATCCAAGGTAGACCAAAATAACAGTTCAGTAAAGTGGAACCCCAGACAAACCATTAAATAATTTCTAATTCTGTTCTTCTAGCCTTATGCTTTACTTGCCAAACTATACCAAAGGTTGAGACTATTAAAGTGTTACTAAACCCCCCAGTAAAATCAGTCTGTATATGCAGTAAAGCAGTGGTTCTCAACCTTTCTAATGCCGCGACCCCCTTAATACAGTTCCTCATGTTGTGGTGACCCCCAACCATAAAATTATTTTTCGTTGCTACTTCATAACTGTAATTTTGCAGTGGGAGGAATAGTGCCCCATCACTGATGTCAGTGGGAGGAATAGTGTCCCATCGTTGGTGTCAGTGGGAGGAATAGTGCCCCATCACTGATGTCAGTGGGAGGAATAGTGCCCCATCATTGGTGTCAGTGGGAGGAATAGTGCCCATCATTGGTGTCAGTGGGAGGAAATAGTGTCCCATCATTGGTGTCAGTGGGAGGAATGGTGCCCCATCATTGGTGTCAGTGGGGAGGAATAGTGCCCCATCATTGGTATCAGTGGGAGGAATAGTGTCCCATCATTGGTGTCAGTGGGAGGAATAGTGCCCCATCACTGATGTCAGTGGGAGGAATAGTGCCCCATCACTGATGTCAGTGGGAGGAATAGTGCCCCATCATTGGTGTCAGTGGGAGGAATAGTGCCCCATCATTGGTGTCAGTGGGAGGAATAGTGCCCAATCATTGGTGTCAGTGGGAGGAATAGTGCCCCATCATTGGTATCAGTGGGAGGGGGAATAGTGTCCCATCATTGGTGTCAGTGGGAGGAATAGTGCCCCATCATTGGTAATCAGTGGGAGGAATAGTGTCCCATCATTGGTGTCAGTGGGAGGAATAGTGCCCCATCATTGGTGTCAGTGGGGGAGGAATAGTGCCCCATCATTGGTGTCATGTGGGAGGAATAGGTGCCCCATCATTGGTGTCAGTGGGAGGATTAGTGTCCCCATCATTGGTGTCAGGGGGAGGAATAGTGCCCCATCATTGGTGTCAGTGGGAGGAATAGTGCCCCATCACTGATGTCAGTGGGAGGAATAGTGCCCCATCACTGATGTCAGTGGGAGGAATAGTGCCCCATCTCCTGGTGATCAGTGGGAGGAATAGCGCCCCATCAATTGGTGTCAGTGGGAGGAATAGTGTCCCATCATTTGGTGTCAGTGGGAGGGATAGTGAACCCCATCATTGGTGTCTGTGGGAGGAATAGTGCCCCATCATTGGTGTCAGTGGGAGGGATAGTGCCCCATCATTGGTATCAGTGGGAGGATTAGTGCCCCAGATCAGTGGGAGGAATAGTGCCCCATCATTGGTATCTGTGGGAAGAATAGTGACATTTCAGTTGTGAGGAATTATTGGTGCCCCTCATTTGGTCGTCAGTGGGGAGGAATACAATTTCCCGTAACTCCGTCAGTGGGAGGAAAGTGCCCCATCAATGGTGTTCAGAATAGTTCACTGGGTCTGGAATAGTTGCCCCATCAGATTCCAGACTATAAAGTGCCCCATCACTGAAATCCCCAGTTAGTATCACTTGTCAGTCCTGTATATTGTATTGGTGTCAGTAGGGAGGAATAGTGCCCCAATCTCTGTTAGAGGTCCCAACATTGGAGTCAGTGTGGAGGAATGCCCCAGACAATTTTTCAGTGGGAGGAAAAAGTGCCCCATCATTGGTATCAGGAGGGGAGGATGGAATGAGTCCCATCTTGGTGTCAAAAGTGTGCTACTTGTGGGGAGGAATAACGCCCCCCATTTGTGGCAGTGGGAGGGAATTAATCTTGGTGTCTGTGGGAGAATCAAGCGCGTCCCATCATTTGTGTCAGTGGGAGGAATAGCGCCACCTCATTGGTATCAGTGGAGGGTGTCCCCCCCATCATTGTTGATGGGCGGGAATAGAGTGGTTCAGGATTGCCCTTCATCATTCTCAGTGTGGTGTCATTGAGCACAGCAGATTTTGCCCCTCCATTTGACCCAGTGGAAGGGTGTCCTCCATGTGGAGTCAGACATGTCAGGGGGGAAAGTGCCACTGCTACATGTGCAGTCCAGAGAGACCATGAGGATTTTTAGATTTTCATAGTGATGGGCTTGACAGAGAATGCGTGCAGAAGACTCACATCTAGTTTGTAACTAGTGCTCAGAATGATTAACACTTCTATAGTTACAGCAAATCTATTTATATGTGGAAAGCTCAGTCTGATGAAACTTTTAACCACTATAGATGAATGCTGCTATGTTGTGCAAGTCACCTGGGTTTAAAATAGTTGCATGGACTTGTGAGCGAGGGTGTAACATTTGGATGTTACTAAAACCAGATGTCTACTTAGTGAAAATCTCAGGAAGGATTATTTTGGGTTATAAACGGCTAAATTTTTTTGCAGTTAGTCCACTTTAAGTCCCACTGAAATGATCCAATTTTGGACAATTTAGCCTCTGTCTGGACTTTTTTAGTAAAGGAAGATATTTCATTTTTGCAATAGCCAGGTTCTCCTGGTTTCAGGTTTTTTCTGAGATGTTGTTTATTGATCCCTGTGCCAGTCCTTGCAGATGCTTTTCACAGGACTGGGGACTGGGAATTTAAAGCATGGAAATATGAATTAGGGTCTTTTCGACCCCCAAAGGGGTCGCGGACCCCCAGTTTTAGGAAATGTAAAGCGTGCTTGTTATACTCACTGTGGAAACCCTAAGGGGTTAATTCTTTTTTGCCTTGGTTAAAAAGGATGTTTGATCCTGTCTTCATTGATCCTCCCTTTTCTGCTACTGTCCCCAATCCATCTATGATAGAACAGAGCTGGGGAAAACTGGCTCAGTTTGGTGTGTAGAGTTTTTTTTTTGGAAAACAGAGAGACATTCAGGGTTGACAGCTTCATAGGACAGTGAGTGGAGAATGAAGACTCCGTCCTACACTAGTGCTCAGCTACACTGATAGAAGTCACAAAACTGAATTGCTGATGAGAAAAGGTATTTAGCAGTTTATATTTACTAAAATAGTTGCATTATCTTGTACTTTTCGGAGACCAGATATAGTTGAATGCGGTCCTGGGTTTAATAACAAACATTAAGATAATGATCCAATTTGGACAATTTAAGTCTACTTATTAGTAAGGAAGATATTTCATTTTTGCAAATTCCAGGTTCCGGTTTCAGGTTTCCCTTTCTGAATGAATCTGTTATTAGTACTTGCTTTTCAAGGACCCTGGGAATTTAAAGCATGGAATGAATTTTTTGGTATGATTTTTTTGCAGGATTTTTGAATGACTTTATATTAAGGGTGGTGAGACAAACCTTTGACAGTGACAGATGCTGAAACACACAATGAATAAACTGAAATAGTTACAATATCTATCTATATAAAATTAAAACAAAACATAATTAAAAAATGAATAGATGTGTTAACTTAAACTTTTCAATGGATTCTTGGCACAGCCACTGTCACCTGACTTATGTCTCACACTGTGTTTTCTAGGAATTTAAGTAAAGTCCACTGCTAATAGCACAAAGAATCCCCAGGAGGCATTTTCCTCAGTAATGGATAGTGATGCCCAAAACATGACAGTGGTGTTCTCAAAGCCATGCGGCAGCTGTACCCACTTTACCATCTGAATAGTTTGTAACTCCCTGTTAAACAGGTAAGAATATTAACACTTATGTATGTGTCTTCTATTCCTTCACAAATGGAGCAAAACTCCTTTACGAGAACCTCAAGTCTGGCAGCAAATTTGGTATAGTCTGCTATCTACTGTGCACCACAGGAAGGAATGAACCTAACAGAGTGCATTTGATATTGGTGACTTGCAAATTGTCTTGAAGTGTTACTAAACCCAGGGCCCTGCATTCATTATATCTGGTCTCCCGCAGTACACAGAACACGGAAGTGCAATTATTTTAGTTAATATAAACTGCTAAAAATACCTTTTTTCATCAGCAGTTAGAGCAGTCTTGTGACTTCTACCAGTGTCCAGCAGAGCACTAGTTACAGCTTGTAGGTAGAGTTTTCATTCTCTCCTATGAGGCTGCAGAAACCCTGACCTCTGTCTGGACAGTACTGATTGGCCCTGTGCTGATCACATGCACTTCCCCATAAAAAAAACAACTCACTAGCAATACACATCAAACTGAGCATGTGCAGCTTGCCCCCAATGCTCCGTTTTATCAAGATATGAAATGGGGATAATAGAAGAAGGGAAGGATCAGAGAATACAGGATCAAACTTTACTGCATATACAGACTGATTTTACTGTTGTGGGTTTAGTAACACTTTAAGTCTAGCAGTAGACAAGGTGTTAGATCCAGCTTGAAGCCAGTGTCCTAGATACAGAAGAGCAAGCTATTTGAGATGCAGCTATATCTTGTGTCTCTTGTGAGATGGATAGGACTGCATAAAAATGTAATCTACATTCTGTAACAAAGTCAAAGTAAGCTTGACATCTTGAAAATCCTTTTGTAGAAACTGACTAGAATGTTAAGAAGACTCTAATAAACCCTGGACTATACAGATTTAGGTGTACATATGGTATGGTTGGGCCTTTTGGAGTTACCACTAGTAAGCAACAATAAGAGCTTCCAAGGTTAGAAGCACTCATTATCTATCACAAAGATCCTTTAACTTGTTGGAAAAAATCCACAGGAGTTGGCAGATGCAGCTGTTTTCTCAAAGAGAAGAGGAAATGAAAATATTAAATTTGAAGGCACCACTTCAGCTTATCGGGCAAGTTGGACAAAAAAAGCAGCAGGTTCTTGTCATTCTCAAACTATGGATAATATGAAGTAGAACTCCGAAGAACACATGCTTGATCTCAGTTGCTAAACAGTAATGTTTATAGGAATTCCAGGCAGATTGCGAACAACAGGGAAATGAGACTTCATTTGTTATTTTTTATTCTAATAAATTACTTGATTTGAGAGAGATGTATATATATATATATATAAACTGTATATTAGGTCAATGTCTATAGTGTCTGGCTCTTGAGTCTTCTTCATGGGCCATATTGGTGTTCTCACAGGTATCCTGATGAAAATGTTTTGTGTCAACAGTTCAATCAAAATCGAATCGAGATTTGAAAGGGTATACATGTGTTTCATCTGGAAGAGTTGACTTAATAAATTCAAATTATATGTCAGACGTGGCATATAAACACTCTGAGATGTATAAACATTTGCAAGATTTGCACCGGAAACGTTTTCTGTCACGAACATGACTGGAGGCTGAGGTGATGAGAGGGCTCCCCTTATGGCTAAGTGCAATGCACCCCTGAGGGCAGTAACAGAAGGTGCAGTGCCCAAAGATGCATGAGTTGTCAATGATATAGATGCCTGGTGAAACCCGATGGGACGACACCCGTGGGTGGACAGGATACAGGAGTATGCTTCCTGCTCTGCCCATCCACCTGGATCCAGAGGACTGGCGGATCCAGGTGGATGGGCAGAGCAGGAAGCAAAGTCAGAAGCCAGAGCCGGGGTCAAACACAGAGCATCAATCAGGAGCAGGGGCGGACTGACAACTCATGGGGCCCCTGGGCAACAGGGGATAATGGGGCCCCTGTGTCCTTGCCCACACCCAAAAAAGCCTATGAACAAGCCAATGAAAGGTACCAGGGGCATCTCATGGGGCCCCCTACTGACCCCAGGCCCTCGGGCAGTGCCCAAGTGCTCGAATGGTCAGTCTGCCTCTGATCAGGAGTAAAGACAAGAACGAAGTCAGAAGCAGGCCGGGACATGCACAGGTCATCAATCAGGAATAGGCAGGAGCAGATCTGAGGAACAAGCCGAGTTTGAGAGCCAGGAGAGGAGCCAAAACAGGTCAGGGTCAAGCCGGGTCGGTAACAGATAATCAGCAGAATAATACACACAGGAACAAGAGGCTGACGATAATCCAGCTATTATTGTGAGAGGTTGCAGTCCTTTTAAAGGCCACTGGGCACCAGCAATTATCATGCCCTGCATGTGCCAATGTGCCATCGCACACATGGATGCGCAATTGCGTGCCGTGCTCCTATGCTCAGTTTTGCGCAAATTAGCATGGCTATATTGGGCATTGGCGCATTTGCCAGGGCTTCCTCATTTCTTTCCCTGACATTTACATTCTTAAATCACAGGGGGGAGATCCATGCAAAATGTTAATCTCAAAGTCAATGAGAACATCCATTACAAGAAAATAGTGAAGGAAACAATTAGTACAAATAAAAGGACAGTTCAGGACAGGTGGACCAAAGTAAATAGAAAGTGGTTAGTAATAGGACAAGATAAGGAACCTTTCCACATTTGTGAATAAAAGTATGCTAATAAGGAAAGATAAATCTAAGTGAAAAAAAAATCAGAGATAGTATTTTGTGCTGCAGTGTCCACAAGGAAGCACACATCCATGCCACAAACTAAAGTGATCAGTTTTACCAAAGACAATTAAAGTTTAAGCAAACCTGTTTATCAGTATAATAGTGTTAAACTGGCAGTGATGCCTTTCTGCATTTCAGGTTTTTTTTGCAGAGTGCCCAACAGTCTCAAATTCCAGGGTACAAATTAAAATAAATTGTGGCCACAGACTACACAGTTGGCATGTATCTCCACCCCCTCTCACTTTCTGTGTTTTGGTATTGGCCAGTAAATCCATGAATCATATTGCTGGCCAATAGGAAAACATGTATAGCATTAAGTGGGGAGGGACGCAACATGGTAACCACATAGACCAACTTGAAGCAGAACTCCAGACAAAAATAAGATAAAAATGAATAGCTCATTAAAAGATAAAAAAAAACTGTATTTGTTGCACAATCCACATTTGATCCAGAAATGTTGTTTGGGGCTATGCACCCATCCCTGCACATCTGTCAAACACAGATGCTCAGATCATGCAACACTGTATAGATCTCTGTATTTGTGTGAATGAACTCTAAAGCCACCCATGGACAAAGCAATTTTCTTTCCTGCAACTATGGGTCCCTTCCAAGGAGCCATTGTGTTTTTCCGGTGGGGCGCGGGGGAGCCGTCCCTACAAGGAGAACACAGTGATTACTGCTAGCGGCTATAATAGCAATAATTGCATGTTAAATCCGGCAGGCTGGTTGTACCCAAGTTGATCAATTGGTCAACTTGGGTACAACCAGCCTGCACATACATGGTTCGAATCTCGGCCAACCATCTACGGCTGGCTTAAGCAGTACCCCGGAAATGGTACCATTTAACTTGAAATGTTTATAAAAAATTGCATTGCTCTTCATGGTATGTGAAGGTGTCTAGGCACTCTTGTTTGGCATCCTCATAGCTGTATTTACAGTTAGAGACCAAACCTCGGTATACACATACCAAAATTGGGGCAGTTCAGCAGGAATTGGCCAAATTTCGGTACGTGTGTACTGCTGTCTTTTCAACAAAAGCAGGTCTAACAACCGGCTGCTGTTGACTGGTCATGCTGGGAAACCAGCATTCGATCAGCACTCAAAGCCAATGGCTGCAGTGCTGATCTGTGTATTCTGGCTGGGTGGTGTTTCCACTGTCAGAATATAATAGAACAGCAGAAGAGATCCATACATCAGTTGTGTTGTTGTGGGGGTCTCTTAGGTTTTTTTTTTTCATTCAACCTGCTGGTTGAATGAAAAAAACTGTACATGTACCCAGCTTAAGACACTGCTGTCTCTGATTTTAAGTCTTAGGAGATTTGGGTGAGATTTGATGATGTCACTACTGTGCCACTCACTGTCCTCCATACAAAGACACAGTGCAAAACAAGGCATGGTAAGTCAGTAATGGGGAGAAGATCAGCTGCAAGATGGCCCCAGGAAATTCTGGTCCCTAGCCCCCGTTTGCATTTTTTATTCTTTAGTGCACACATTCTTATTATTGTTAT